GAGGAGGGCCTCTGCTGCCAATCTTAGGGGATGGGAGGGCATGTAGGGAAAAATGCATTCCTTTAGGTATCCTGGTCCAAAGCCATTTAGGGCTTTATAGGGTAAAAACCAGCACCTTGAATTGAGCCCAGACTTCGATGGGAAGCCAAAGGAGCTGATAGAGTACTGTATTGTATCCCGCGGTTTTGCAGATGAGACCAGAGACCAGTTGATATTTTTAAGAGGAGTTTATTAACCTGCAGGGATTACCTGCAGGGACCAACATTCTAGTAAGAATGCGGCCCTGAACAGAGTTGGAATGAGATTTTTATACTTTTACAATCAGCTTTCGGCAAAATGGGGAACAATACAATCAGTCTTTGACAAGAGTGAGAACAATGGCGACAATGGGGTGTTACAGAATCACATAAGCAGCAGTTGAGCAAGCGATATACAGAAGCAGATTTTAGCAGTAAGTTTTATCTTTTAATTTACACCTTTTAGGCAATCTTTGCCCATTACGCCGTTGGTAAGCTCTTTCCATTTTCCGAGGGGAACTTTCTGGGGCAGTTGCCAGACATTTGAATGGGCTAGAGCTTAGGGGAGCTAAGCCTATCATGCATGCCCTGAAACAGCTGATAGATATTCTAATGCCAGTTGTTATGTTAATCTGGAGCCTGGGGATTTAGGCCTAACAGACTGGAGTTATGTCAGAATAACGACCAGTCCCTGACAGCATCCTGGCAGCTCTATTTTGCACCATCTGAAGTATCCGGACTGTCTTCAAGGGCAGCCCCAAATAAAGCGCATTACAGAAATCCAACCAGGAAGTGTGTCACTCTTGCGTGTGTCGCTCTTGCTAGGCAGTTCTCCTCCAGGTAAGGATGCAGCTGATGGATCCGTCAAGGCTGATGGAAAGCGCTCCTCACCACCGCTGTCACCTGGGCTTCCAAGGACAGCTCCAGGTTGAGGAGCACTCCCAAGCTGCGGACCCTGTCCCTAAGAGGGAGTGCAACCCCATCCAGGGCAGGGCCCAAGTCGCCAGGCACTGGTTCAGGACAGCCACTGTCTCACCTGGATTAGTTGAAAGGAGAGGTAGAGCAGGGTGTCATCAGCGTACTGATGACTCCACAGCCCACACCTCCTGCTGACCTCTCCCAGCCGTTTCACGTTGATGTCGAATAGCAAGGTAGACAAAATGGGGCCCTGCAGTACTCCATGGCAGAGTTGCCATGGCGCAGAGCCATAGTCCCCCAGCACCACCTTCTGGAATCGGCCGACAAGGTAGGAGTGGAACCACTGCTAAGCAGTGCCTCCGACTCCCAATCCCACTAGCCTATCCAGAAGGATACCATGGTCGATGGGATCGAAAGGAGAGGTCCAGGAGAACCAACAGGGATGCACTCCCCCTGTCCCTCTCCCTGCACAGGTCATCATACAGGGCGACCAAGGCAGATTCAGTACTGTAACTGGGTCT